TGAAAACAGAATTTTATTAATAAATTATGTCATAGCGATAACGAATTTTTGACCACACGACTACTAATAGACAAGAATCTAACCCTACACATAAAGGTAAATATTTTATAAGAAAGTCTCCTACCTAGTTAGCTGGCTAATAATCTGCACAAATAATTTCTAAATTTGGTAATAGATTTCTGCATTACCTTCTTGTTATAGAAATAAAATTGCCAATTTAGGTAGTAAATGGCTTAGCTGGCTAAAGATTTTTAAACATCCAATAAAAATCGGTTTTCCTAAAAAGGATATTCAACAAGATTTTGAAAAAATCTAGTATTATCCCAAGTAAAACTATCAATTGACGATTGGATTTTTAATTTAGTTGTGCAAAGGCCTGAGGTAAGCCAGTTTAAAATTTTCGGTTAATTAAAAGGCATTTTGAAACATTAATAATAATTAACAAAGGTTCAGAAGTTGTCTCATGTATCACGAATTAAATTATAACAGTGTGAGCGCATCTAGTCTGAGCCGAAGAACATCTGCAGTAATATTGTGACATCACTAATCATAAGTCTTTAATTGTCCATAACTTTATTGATTATCTTGTGAAATGTTGAAATTAAATTTTTGCAAGAATTCTATAGTGCAAGCACCGAACTTTTGAAAAATTTAAACTTAGAAGTTTAAATTGATGTTTTCAATTTTTTGATGGTAGTGTTGATGATGATAAATTTATGTGTGTAATATAATAGACGAAAATCATTGTTAATTTTCTTTTAAATTGGACCCGAGTTGATTTAAGGGCGGTCAGCTGCTTCTCTACTTCAGAATCATAGTGCTGCGGCTGCATTAGCATTTTTAAAAATTTAAATAATAGCAAATTGTTATTTAAATATATTAGTTTTTTGCCTAATCTTCTTTTTCACATGCTTATTCTCCAAAACTACAGCTATCATTTTCAGACAAATATAAATTGTGATTGAATTCATGAGATAAGTATCAAAACAAGTTTGTGTGCAGGATAAGATGTACGATGGACGATTTTAGTTCCAAAAGGGAAAGCATCAGTCATAAAACTAGTTTATTTATGTCATGTGGCCTGCCACACTTGAATACAAAAAAATTATTTGGCAAAACTTTTAAGGCCATTAAATATATATTTTCATTATTGTGATAGTAGCATTTGATTTAAATGGAATGGATTCAACAATTTTGGAAAAGTATTTCAATGAAAATGAAAGATTATTAAACACAGAAGATTTTTATGATGTAAAGATATATCTTGGTGCAGAACCAAACACTAAAGAAGTTCATGCACATGCATCCATCTTATCTGCCCATTGTTCATTCTTTGGAAATGCATTAAATGATGCAACAAAAGAAAATGGTTATTATATTGTTAAAGAAGCTAATATCAGTGAAAAATGTTTCAAGCCTATTCTCAAGTAAGTTTAAATAAATTTATTATTTATTTTAATTATTATTGTATTGTATATGTAATGATAATCTGTTTAATAATTTATTTATTGCTGAAAGATTTTTATACACATGTAAAATTGAATTTGAAGATTATTCTGGAGCTGAAGTATTAGAACTAATAATTGTTGCAGAAAAACTTGGTATTGAGACACTTTATGAATATATGATGAAATATTTTACCAAAAATCATGAAGATTATATTAAAAAAAACCCAGTTAAAACCTTACAATTGATTTATGCCAATGAAAAATTTAATGAATTGAAGAATATCTGCTTGGAAAAGTTTTGCAATTATAGTGAAAAATTTTTTGAATCAAGTGAATTTGAATTGTTGGAAAAACCAATTCTATTGGAAATTCTCAAAAGGGATGATTTTTCCATTAATGAGATGATTATTTGGGAAAATGTTCTTAAATGGGGATTGGCAAAACATCCAGAAATCAATAATATAAATGTTGAAGATTGGTCATTACAAAATTTTGCTGATTTAGGCAACACATTAAAAGATTTTCTTTCTTTAATAAGATTTCAGGATATTTCAAAAGAGGATTTTTTTGATAAAATTGAACCATATCAAATGCTTTTTCCTAAGACTTTATGGAAACCCCTTTTACAACTTTATTTGATTCCTGATAGACTACAAACATTAAATTTATTACCATCAAGGAATCCAAATTCAACACTTGAATCATTGACAATCAATCAAAATCTTACTTTGCTTTTTGCTAGTTGGATTGATAGCAAAAACCCACAATATAGTTCATTCAGGGAAGTTAAATACAAATTTAAACTTATATATCGTAGCAGTAGAGATGGTTTAAGTATAGCTGCTTTTCATCAAAAATGTGATAATATCAACAAAACTCTTGTAGTTGGCAAAATACAAAATTCAGATCAATTAGTAGGAGGATATAACCCACTTGATTGGAATTTAAATAATGGAGTTGACATATATAAAAATACAACTGAAAGTTTTATTTTTAATATTGGTAATAGAAATGATATTAATTCTGCGCGGTTTAGTTATGTAATTAATAATCAAGATAAAGCAATTTATTGTCATTCTGGAAATTTAGCTATTTTTGGTAGTGGTTGTGATCTTATTTTCAGGCCAGGAGGTGATATCAATAGTTATTATATTTATAATCCAACTTCTTATAATAACATCAATATAGTAGACGGTAGTAGATATGATGAATTAGAAGTGTTTCAAATAATTGATAAAAAATAAAATTACATATTTGTTTTATTATTTTAGCTAATATGGATAAGTTTTTAATTATTATATTTAAAGACTATATATTTATTTATGATATTTTTTTTATTTATGTTGTGCGTGTGAAGATGAAATATATGTGAATTTGCAATATGTGAAATTCAAATTTGCCAATCATAATATCCAAACACCCACCTCAAAATTTTAATTATAAATTTCAATTTCACACATTTATTTTCTGTGACGCTTCTATATATATATATATATAAATATAAAGGAAAATTTGGCCTTGAGGGTCAGATTACTTTCGGTTTTATTAAAAGCTTGCCTTAAAATTTTTCTTGAAGGTACATATAAATTTCAACTTTGGTGGTTGCTACACAACAAGGTAATAGACGCAAGGCAAGCTCACTATTAATACTTATAATATCAAAATCTGGATAGATATATGCATATCATGGGCGATGAAGATATTATTATCATAAATAGAAGACATAAGATACAAAAGCGGTATTTAATTGTGTAGCGAATAATCTCGATTCAAATATTCTAAAATATAGGTGGAAATTATCTGGTGTAATCCGTGCGTAGCATTAGCTTTTTTTCAAATGTATGAATTCATCGGATTTATGAAATTTTTGTTAATCTTCCATAAGATGTCTAGGTGAAGTCACAGTAGAACTTTTTTCAGCACACCTTTGTAATCTAGGAAAGAGCGCTTGAAATAAATTACAATAGTGATATTCTATAAAATAGAAAACGAGCATTAACAATCTTGTAGATAAAACAAAATTTTTAATGATTACTCGATGAAACGTGCCCGTAGTATCCACGAAACCAGACACATCATCACCACTTGTCTGCCATATTGGGATTTCAACCTCACGCATCTGACAATGTCTGTGTATGTCTGAATCTATATTTAAGCGCAGCATATTTCCTATAACATTTTAATGCGATGTTAATGATCATCAAACCAAAATTCAATTCTAAAGATATCACAAAGAGGAGGATGGAATCATACCAGAAACTTGTATTCCAATAATACCAAAACTCGTTTCAATCTGATTCACACCCCTTGCGAGACCAGGCTATCCAAACATTCATTTCTTGCCACAACTTCACGCGATAAATTTCCTTTTTTTTTACTCATCACAAAACAAACAGGAGCATTCAGAATACATTAGCTCATAAATTTTTCATCACGACTCACCATGAATATAATATCTGGACATTTTCCAGTATCTCCCTTTTGGTCTTTACTAGCTGTATTTTGATCTTCTGCACTGAATAATAAACACGTTAGCGAGTGATCATTTTTAATAAAGCTAAATACTATAATTTACGTGCTGACGAAGCCAAATTTTCCAACTGGGAGGTTTTTTAGTGTGGCCCGAATTATAGGAACTATTATATCAGTTACATAAGTCCCCTAATTCAATGTTTTAGCAAATTCAAATCTAAAAGCTGAGTTTTTTCCAGACTTCATCTCTATAATCATATGTTATAATTCCAGTGGTACGTCATCCGTGATATAAAATACTCACAGTATCCTCTTTGTAGTTTTACAAGTTCCTCATCAGACTCTTTTCCAGCTATTGTCGTGTGATAATTTATTGAGCAATTCCTCAACTGAATCGTCACTGAAATTTGCAACAAAGTCCCAACACGCCCCTTTAGGTATGTCTGGAAGAGTCGCTGACATTTGCTCTAATAAAATATTATAGATTAGCATACCATTCAAATGGATCGTCAGAAATAACATTTCAATCTTCTCACCATAAACTGATCACTCGACTAGCGAATAGATCTCTCTCTATAATAAATTTGAAGCTTTAATAATCCCTTCTATATTGATGCGCAATTCCTGTGCAAGGGGCGTTGTGCTTTTCTGGATGATAAAATGATTTAAACGCTCTCTTTCCATGTATTCCAAGATCTAAATAATAACAAAGAAAATGAACGTATTTGCGCGATTAACCAAATTCGATTAATTACCTCGTGTAAATTCATGCATTGAATGAAATTCTAATAATTATTTTTTTATTGCACAGCCTCATAATGTTGTACAACATCATGTTAAAAGGTATCTATCTTCCTTGCTCTTTTTCAGATTTCAGAAGCTGTTTTTTGTACCACTACAAATTGGGTCCTGTCCATTATGGACAGGTACTCTATATGGCATAGGGATGGCCCCGTATAACACAACAAAGGAATCGCGTGATTCAAATTCAGGTTTAAACCAGTTCCTGCTTACTAATTTATAAAAAATGACACTATCAATGAGATAATTGCTTCATATTCATATTTTTTCTACACAATAATGAATTACCGAGAAAAGGGCAATAAAGCATTTATTGATGGAGAATTCGAGACCGCACGACAAGAGTATACCAAAGGAATCGAAGTTGCACCTGAAGACCCACGATTATGGTCAAACCGTGCGCAAACCTTTATTAAACTAGGGTATCCTGAACTTGCGATGGTTGATGCCGTTAATGCCCGCTCTCTCATTGAACCAAAGATCACTAGTGGTAAATATAGTGATGCAGATCTGGCGTTGTTTTGTAAAAGTGGATGGAGAGAAGCGGGGGCATTGGCCAAGTGCGATGGATTTGTGTTAGCAGGAAGAGCGTTAGATAGGATATTTCAAATTGTTGTTAATAAACGACCAGTGGCAGGTGTTGATTGGAATACATGGGAACGTGAAAGGGATAACTATTATGAAAAACATTACCAACATGTGGTGGCTCTTAGTAAGGTAGGCTCGGATCGGCACGCGATGGTCGAACAAGCTGGAAAAATGTGCAAGTTTCCAAATCGTGGAGCTTACCCGTGGGACATTCGTAGTCGAGAGCGTTGCACCTCAGAGAGTCTCGCTTCTATCCAGAAACTTTTGGAAAAGATCTCCGGAAAGAGCATCAAAGTGTCATTAGTTAGCTTTCCTAATGCTTCTCAAGCACACGAATTCGGCATAGTAGCAACAAAGGATATAAAAAAAGGAACTATCTTGCTTGAAGAAAAACCGCTTATTTCAGTTCACGCTCCTGGTCAACAGCGATGTGATTTTTGCAACAAACAAGCCGGTTCGAAAAGGTTCTTATGTCCGAAAGCAAATTGTTCCGAAATCTTTTGTAATAATGATTGTTTCGACAATGCTTGGGAATTATACCATCGTGCTATCTGTGGAAAAAATCTTGATTTGCTGTATGAAATAGTGAAAAAAGAATCACCATTCTCTGGTTCTTCTCTCCTAATTGTTCTCAAAATCTTTGCCATTGCCAAACAACGAGATATTTGTCCCTTAGATATTGAAGAGATGAAGCATCTTTTCCCCTTCCAACATTCGACTGCATGGTTCCAGCACGGTCCTATGGCCATCGATTTCTACTTTGAATTAATGAAATTATTGGAAATTCACACTTTCGACTTACGATACGAACCATGGATCTATCTAACAATTTATAGAAAGACTAAACCCAATTCTTCTTTTTTTAATCCTTTGACATCAACTGGACAATTTTACCCAATAATATCTCTTTTCAATCATCATTGTGATCCAAATGCCGGAATTTCTGACGATGTAACTAAATCAATTAAAGGTGGAAAACCATTTTCGTTGGGTGTGACTTTGTCAACACGAGCTCAAGCAACTCGTAATATAAAAAATGGAGATCAAATATTTATTAATTACACGTTAGGGCATGACCTTAGTATCTTGTCAAAAGTCGGTAACACTGTAAGAGCATCCGGCAGTACTAAACATACTCGTCAACTTCTCGAGACTAGTTATGGGTTCCATTGCAGGTGTTCTGTATGCGACTCTTTATCTAATTGAAATCGATATTTACGTTACAATAGTATTATTTTAATCTTGTTTATTATTTTATATGTATATTTTTGCATTTTTATCCATTAAAGATATGGTATATGAATTTTAATTATAATAATGCTCGGTCAACTATACCAGTTAGAAATTCATGCATGATTTATTTATGTGACGATCTAATTGTTGCTATAAAACCTAATTCAATTAACCAACTCGTGGTGCCTATTGATTACACCCACTTGGCCTACCGATATCTGGAAACGAATGGAATGAGTGGACAGCAGCGTGCTTGGTCTGATTTCTCACATGGTGCATACCAAAGTCAAATGCAACAGTATGTGTTCACCTACCTGATCCACTTTAGAAATCGATTTTATGGAGCATTTTACTATTACGTGTTACAGATATAGCATGCTTATGTGATAAAGCAATTTTATTAGTTGAGAGATTGTATGTCATAATAAGTATAAGTTACTAGACATCTGAATTTGAATTAAGAAGGTGCTTTTTTTCATAATTTTTATGAAGTGTCTAATATCTTAAGTCGTACAAGTGACACCAGTTGCTAAAACATATCCTCCGGGATATTTGCCAGCATCTCGTATATGTTATCTAGGAATGTGATTAAAATAAGTCCTAAGAAAAAATTCACCCTAGTAAAATTTAGGACAAACCCAAACTATGGTTCTACAAGCTATGTGATTTATGGGCAGCAAACAGGTATGTACCATAACTCCATTATTTCAATCTGGCAATTCTAACGGCAAGCATAGAAAAAACTCTGATGCAATTTCAATAAAATCTAAAGCCCCATTCCTACAGTAAACTTTCAATCACAATGTAACACTCGAATATTGGAGGTCAGTTTAATCTTTTTTTTGGATACCTGTAAATTTCTGAAAACCAAAAATTAAATATTAAATAAAGTGATTAAATAAATATTAACACCACCATTTGTTTTTGAAGTGTTTCAAAGGTAAAGTAACATGGCCAGGAGAATCTCCTTCCTCTTTTTCGTAGGGTTTTGACAGTATGTTTTTGTAATTTAATGGACTTAAACAACAACAATGTAATGAAGAATTTTTAATAAAAAAAGCCTTAAGGCTTTGAAGTTAGTCAACATTTCAAATTTACCAATATATTCAACATAATTTCAGTTGCCATCAATTTACATTTGCTATTTTTGCTGACAAAAAGACGTCTTCCATCTCTCTCCTAAAAGAATTGATCATAATAAAGAAAATTATTTTTTATATTGGTAAAAAAATTTATTACAGTGTGTAACAAAAAAAACCGGAAATCTTTTATTTATTTGTTTTCAATAATGGTTGAATGAAAATAGATAAAAATACATCGAAAAGAAAGCTGAAAATCAGAAG